CCAACCCGCATAGTTCATTTTCTTAATTACCATATAAATGTAAAGGCCTGATCAGAATTATCGAAAACAAACGTATGTTCGCCATTTCATCTTCTGAAATTTTCAATGGTAATTTTCGCAAACTACCTGAATCGACTACCCAACACTGTCTCGGCTGCCCGGTTTGGGTGTGAATAGAAAACATCAGGAGCATAAAACGCTTGTGTCTACATCTTCTCAACTGCCTCCTGGGAGCTGCATTTTCGCTTGTATTGATAATTACTGGCCTTATTTTTCGATGAGGATGGAGGGAAGATTGACATACTGAGCAGATGGAAATTGTATGGAAGCCCGTCGACGATGCTTAGTGCTGAAGAGACAGGTTCATTTCTCATATTCTTTCCTTGATCTCTTCTCACCATTCGGATTCATGTCTCAGCGTAGACAGATGGTATCTGTTCTAGTCGACGCTGTTCCTTCAAGTCCAGCGCCTAATCACACAAACATTAGAACGTACTCCTTATCTCACGCACCTTATATGTGTGATAGTGGTGAATATGCGAATCCCAGGGGGTAATTCGGAAGAAGAAGAAAGAGCATTCGCCGGGAAAGCTTAGTTAGTGATCTGACGTTTCGGGTGGTTGTTTCGTCAAGAGGCTGAACATCCACGTTCATGGCTCTCGTTACATGCAGTTCTTTTTCATGAGCGTAGCCTGTCAATTACGGCTGAGCCGCATCGCTATATCACTTGTGTCGCCGCAACCATGGCTCCCCCCTCATTGGCTGGCCATAGCGCTGCGTCTAGAGGTAGGTGGATGACACAGCCAGCCCAGACGTCAAATCTCTCATAGATCTTTCCCGGCAAACACTCCTAGCATCTCGCATTTTCCTCGTCACAGCTTATTCTAGTAAGATATATTCGCATTTTTTTAAAATATCTTTTACCAATAGCGGCGACTTGCGGCTACCACAGGGCGTCAGTGTGCTACATGTGGAACAGGAAGTCATCGGAGACAACACACCAGCCATTGAAAGCGTCCTTGAAGCTGACACTGAGAGGGCGGCCCTACTAGCTGAACTAGCCAGCTTAAAGAATGCGACTGATGAGGACGCTGGCGAACGCCTTGGTGATATCTTCCACCGAATGGTGGAGATAGATGCGGACAGTGCACCAGCACGGGCTGCGGCCATTCTCTACGGTCTGGGCTTTGATACTGAGATGCAGGTACACCGTTGCCTCCCCCCCCCGGCGATCAGTCTATTTTAACTGTCAGTTCTGTCAGTGGACTCTTAATGCACCACTCCCTTTTGCTTTTTAGAAAAGGCCCACCAAGGAGTTTTCTGGTGGTTGGCGAATGCGTCTCGCATTGGCGCGAGCACTGTTTGCCACGCCAGATCTCTTGCTTTTGGACGAACCGACTAACATGTTGGACATGCGAGCGCTCATCTGGCTGGAGGATTACGTCCAAGTTCGTACGAATTTTAAGTGGTTTATCTTCGCTACTATGTATTGCAAGTAGCTACTATTTAAACATAGATATATATTGCGTTTCCTTTCAGACATGGTCTACCATTATGATCATCGTATCCCACGACCAAGCCTTCCTCAATTGCGTAGCCACAGACATCATTCATCTGACGGCCAAGCGGCTGGATGCTTATCGCGGCAATTATGAACTGTTTGTGAAGGCCCGCGAGGAACATCTGCTGAACGAGGAGAGGGAGTATCAAGCACAGAAAGCCGAGCGCGAACACATCCAAGTGAGTAAACTGTATGCAGTTAACTGTCGCCCCCACCAACAACACGTACTTATCCATTAAGTGTAGCCCACGAAGAGCATTTGTTTCTTCCCCGCTTCCTATTTCAGTAGGAAATCTAGGTAAAAAAGGAGTTGTGATAACAGTACCAGCTCGAGGTTTGCGCTAATGACACTTTTGACGTTTGTTTAACTACCATCACTTAAATTATGTGAATTTTGGGTATGGAATGTGGAGACGTTGCACAAGGTAAGTTGGTGCCCACGAATCAGCCAACCCGATCTTATCCGTACATCAGATTCTATTGCTAAACTTCAAGAAGCAGCTGTTCCTATGCATTTAGATGCTGACTTAACAGTAAGAATAGGCAAAACCATACGTTTATAACCCATTGTTTCCCCCTACATAGGCGCACCTTCTCAATGTTTGTCGCGGGTTACTGGTTTGTATTTTAATACCTTTATAACAGTTCACCTTACAGTTTACCGACTATTTGGGATCTGTCATCCAAGGCACCTTTTTATGAGAACTAGTTAGAGGCAAAAAGTAAAGATTAAAGAAAGAAAAAATGCCTATGACACTTGTCCTTTGAATAAAATTTTCCTGTTTATTACGCCTTGTAGCAATTTATCGACACGTTCCGCTACAACGCTAAGCGTGCCTCCCTGGTGCAAAGTCGTATAAAGGCCCTGGAGCGTCTACCCAAACTGATAGAACCCGAGAAGGTGACCAAGGTAGTTTTTCGTCTGCCAGAATGTGACAAGATCCATCAACCCTTGGTCCAACTCGACGAGGTTTATTTTCACTACATTCCAGAAAAGCCAATTCTCGAAAACATTGATCTCACCGTGCGACATAGCTCACGCATTTGTGTGGTAAGTAGCACCAGTCAAAAGACAGAGTGCTTGGGTTTGCTGGTGGTCACTTTGTCTCCCAATGCCGAATTGTATGTATGTCTTTTGTCCTTCAGGTGGGCGAAAACGGTGCAGGAAAGTCTACCCTTCTCAAACTAATACTTGGTGATTTGGAGCCAACCAAGGGCCTCCGAAAGGCGCACCGACAGCTCCGGATAGGTTATTTCTCTCAGCACCACGTGGACCAGCTGGACTTGAATGTTTCCAGCCTGGAATTTCTCATGAAAAAATTTCCTGGTTAGTAGAGTCCTATTCATCTTTCACACCGCCAGGCGCCTGAATCTTGCGCAAATTTTTGTTGAATCTGATTGTGAAGTACTCGGCAGCCTAGGTGGATTTTGAACCCACGCCACGAGGCCCCCCCCACAGGGAGTCTAATCACTTTTTGGGTCAATTTACCCACCCACCTAGCCTGCTGCAGCGTATGGAATCTACCAATTTTGATACAGTAAGCTTACTGCCCAAGCGTGAATTCCTGAGCCATCAATCAATGTAGATGATTACTAGGCAAACTTAATTAGTAGGGAATTTGGTATATTTGAATAATTTCTTTCACCCACAAACTCGGCAGCCTCGGTGGAGTTCGCACCCACGCCATCAAGGGGAAGGCTTTTGTACAGCCAACTAAGGTGCGAGGCCGTCACTGGGAACCGTGAGTTAATTCACAAATGGAAATTTATTTTGTTTTGTGGCTGAGTTGGTAAAACCATATAAGTGCAGGGCTAGTTACGATTTGTTCTGCCTTGTAAGGCATGAACAGTTCTCCAATAAGACGCATAGAGTTGGT